TAGAGGCATTGTAAAATGAAGACCAAACCAATTCCTATCAAGTTAACATATCATACACAATGAATTAGTGCTACGAGTTGCCAAAGCAGAATATGAACAAGGAATTCCTAAGAACGATGACCATACCTGTTGAGCAGCAATGCACACTTGGCCCAGAAGAAGAGGATGGCGACGAGGAGGAGCAAGGCGTTGGACAGGAGGGGAAGCTGTAGCCCGTGTGCTCGAAGACGAACCAGACCACGGTGGCACCCACAACGCCCGCCACCAAGGCGTTCGTCCACCTCCATAGCAGCAGGTCAGCGACTAGAACGGGTCCCTACGCGAGGAATGTTAGGAGCTATCGATCCGCACCCGCACCCGCACCAGCACCCTCCGCCGTCGCCGTCGCCATCGTCGGGAGTTAGGGTTCGGGGTTGGGGAACGAACGGAAGAGAGTGAGAGGAGAGAGCGCGAGTAAGTGGGCCACGAGAAAAGGGAAAAGGCCCAATAACGTGGTCGTCGCGGGTTGACCGGGCGGAAACCGCCGTCGTGCCGATGTGAGGGCCATATCTATCTGGTTTACAGAGTTGATAGACTGCGGTTGTCTGGTTTTAGAGTTGGAGGGCAAAAACCAAACTACTGCCATAGTTGGAGGGCCAAAAACGGACTTTTTCCATAAAGTTTTGACCTTTTAAAAATCATGACAAAAGTGCTAGTGGTTGCTAGTTCTAACCAAGCCTTTAAATTTTCTAAGTTTGAAATGGCCATAGGCAATGCCATTTTGGCATTTGAATTCCGACAAAAATGGTTAAGCACTAAAATCATGTTCTTGTATCATTGGTTGCTTCTAACTTAGCACTTGGGTGAGATGTAGGTCGTAGTTGAGTTGGATGTCAACTTGAACCCTTAAAATTTTCCCAAAACTCCTTAGAACGTGCGGTGAATCACGTTCTAGTGCCATGTTCGTGAACTAGAGTTCAGCGTGATGAGCCCATGCTGGCATGAAGCCATCTCCTCCTTGAGTTGCTCCTTGACCTTCGTGATTGCTTCACCTAGTAGTTGATATTGCTGCCTTTAGGTTAGGGAAATTAGTCGAATTGCATCCGAAGTCGTTAGCGGTCTTTGCGACGCTTTAAAAAGCGTGTTCGTCACTGTTTCGGCAATTGGCTTCCGTGGCCGCGGTCACCACGTGTGCAGGCATTGTGGGTGTCGAGCTCATGCCACAGCCAGAGCGGCAGTCATGGGCTGGTCTCGGTTGGTTGCGGCTAGTCCCATTGCTGCATGTGCGCTGTCCCGTTTGGGTGGCCGCCTGGGCACGGTCGCTGCTTTAGGTGGTGCGGGCGCGCTGCTGGTCGTCGGTCCATGCCGTGGTTGTGGCTACAGTGCGTGGTCAATGTGGGGCTCACTCCGCCCCTCGTTCTACCTATCACATAGTCCATGTGTTGGAGCCCTGCCGCCGTGTCGAACCGGTGGCTCGACTGTAGAAGCGATGGGACGCTCCCCTACCCTGCCTTGTCTCGCTAGCCGCCATGGAGAGCCCGGCTCAGGTCCGGTCACTCCGAGTTAAGCGTGTCACGCCAATGCCTCATGTTCGCCAGTCGCGTGCACGTGCTCTTGTCGCATTTGGAGATCTGAGTTGGCCATCTTAAGCCATCCGCCTGCGTGCGGGTGCTTCTCCACGACATGGCACGACTAGAGCTCGTCTAGCCGCCCTCCAATCCGCTTAAGCTCTGGTCCTCCATCACTCGATTCTTTGCGCCAGTAGGTGGCTTTAGAAGCCCACTAAGCGCTCCATCTTTCCCATCCCGGTCCAAGGGCTATCGACGGCCAATTGAGCATTTTGTCGTCGCGGGCCATGGTCACCGCCGTGACCGGGAACTGGGAAGAGAGGTAGGATTGGAGCGATAGAAGTTCGATTGTTTCAGACCATAAACTCGCATTGCCCCCTCCACTTGGTGCTCGTGTTGTTTTGTCTAGGAGGCTCACCATCGGCGCGGTGACGCGCCGGTGCCACACTCAGCACGCCGCCGTGAGGTGCGGGCGCACATGGCCAGTGCTACGGGGCTATCTCTGGCTTAACCATCACCTCGATCATGTTCGTTGTAAGCTGTTGATGCTCAATCACCGTCCTTTTAGTCCGTTAGTGGCTCTAGCTCGCCAGAACGCTCACGCCGCCATGGTGGTTGGTCCGCCGCCGTGAGTAGCACGATAGAAGTCGCCGTTAGGCTCCCAACCGTCACCTAGGAATGCGCGCTTAGCGGTAGGCAGAGGTCGGCTCCTTTATCCCCGTCGTAGTGAGCTTCATGCGCTCAGCGCAGCCGCCCATGCCGCTGGTCGTCGTGCCGGCGAACGCGGGGTAGAGCAAGGGTCTCCCCATGGTGAAGGCAACATTTTCTAGGGTTCTTAGTGCAAAAATCTTCTATGGTGTAATAGCATTCCGTAACGTCGCGTGATATTCTGTAAAGCTGGGGGTTCTTCTGCAAATGTGTGGGTGCGCGCGTGGGTTTCCCATCGCGGGCCGCTTGTTGGGCCGACCTGCTACACGCACGGCCATTTCCACGCGAGCCGCCTGGGCTGTTGGATCGAATCGGTTGCCGCCGGCCCTTTTCGATTTCTAAAGCATTTTCTAATTTAGCTTTTAACGTAAATTTGTAAATTCAATATAAATTGTGTAGTTAACCAAAAATTATGAAACCAATTTTGTCAGGTTCCTAAAATCATGATCTATTTGCTAGTATATTTTGTTCACATAGTTTTATAATATTCTTAGGAGCTATATAATTAATTTGAGATACTTAATATTGTCAAAATATAAACTTATAGGAATTGTTGTGATAAATTGGTGATAGTGTTGGCTCTGAAACTTTCACAGTAAATCCCTAACATTATGAGGTGCTCACTATAATTTTTATAGCTCCATAATAATTAGTTTGCAAAGGCTAAATGAGCCATAGTTCAAAAATATATATTTAATCAATTAAATGCCAAAACACCTTGGGATTTTAGAACTAAAACATTTTTCTAGAGACAAAACCTTACTTTGACAATGTGGATACGCAGACCAGCATGTTAGTCATTAATGCTAACTCGTTAGCTTATGGAGCGTAATCGTATATTTAAGAGTTGCGATTACCGTTGATTAATTACGTCTCTGCATTGCATCCACGTATACCATAATAGGAACAACAATGGATCATGGAGTCGACCAAGATAGCAAAAAAGTTGGTGCCTTGATGATCGTGTCACCTTGATGGAATGCTAACTTTTGGTTATATCTTACCCAGGCAAGCCCCGACGCATAACCCCTATTACTCTGCACTTTTATCTTATGCTTGTGCATTAAGTTTTAAGGAGTTGAATAAAACCACTTGCATATATATATATATATATATATATCTTGTCCTATGAGTCTTACTAGTATGACATGATTATGTAGATTGCTATGCTACAGGACTCCGATAGAAGTCGAGTGATTGCCTGTCACTCGTGAGAGATAGAAAAGATATTATTGTTGTCATTATATTGCTATCATATGGAATATATATGAATTATTAATGGAGATCGGGCAGGGATATGGTACATGTATTGGTGAGTGTAAGAGGTTATGTCCCGCAGCCAACGGGACATAGCTTGGTTACACTGTTTTCCCTGTCCATGTCGGTTAAGGACCGACCGTTGTATTGGATTCTAGGCAGGTCACAAACTTATTATCCTGAGCATATACTTGCTTATGGGGAAGGCTCGTTGCTCTCTTGTCATGGGTTCTGGCTCTTTTCGGACCGACTGATTGGAGGCAGGGATGGTGGAGGTCTAAGCACCACACTGAGTCCGAGACTCAGGTGTGGGGGCTTAGAGTCCAAGTTTGAACAGGGACCTGGACCCCTTGACAGGAGAGTGGTGGGTTGGTCCTACTTGTGCCTAGGGTACAAGCGGAGCATGTGTTTTGGGGTACCCAGCTAGGATACATTGGTTCACGAATCACCGTGTGATATGGTACGACTTGGCTACGATCTAGCACCGTAGTAAGAACTAAAATATGAAAGATGGTAAAATGGTTTTGATTACTTACCACCTGTTTGAAAGTAGCATAGGTGCTTACATAGAATAGTTAGTTAATGAACTAATGATGACTGCTAATAAAATTAAATATAAGGACGCACGTTTAATAATGCTCCTGCAGATGCAATAAATCCATAAGCCAGATAGCCTTGTCTATCCTTAGAGTCTTTTCTTTTCTCCTGACGGGTAAGTCTTGCGGAGTATAATTGAGTACTCAGGGTTTGTTCTATCCTGTTGCAGGTGACAGGTGGATGCTAGAGGTGACACTTATGTGCGAAAACCTCCTGATGGGCTCAGCGAAGATTTTCTTAACGTTGCGGACATAGAGTTTATTTGAAACTTCCACAAAAAATGTTTTACAATAGAAAAACTTATAACCTGTTATGATGTACATAACAGATCATCATGTTAATGTTTGACTTGTCGTTAAATGATTTTATTTCCGCTGAAACTCTGATAACATGGTTATATTCTGCTGTTATAAATAATAAATATTATACTCTGATGTTGCACTGAAAGTGATGTAAGAAATAGCTAAAATATTGTAAGCTTTATTCTCCCATTTATGATCCTGTTAAAAATGTGGATTTTCGGGTTCTCCCATGGGGTGTGCTCGACAAAACTATTTAAATTAGCTCACTCTTGGGGTGTATAGTGTCTAATGAAAGACAAGCACCTCCAGAAGTGAGTTATTTTAGACGATTCTGCCACATTCCACACCCGCTGGCAAGACGCTAGCGTTCAGGACCAACCAAGAATGTCGACATGCTAGAGCTAGAGCCTAGCAACTACAACACATACAAAGGACTATACGGCACTAGAATTTGTGACCGTGGGTACAACAAGGCAAAGCTATAGAAACGCTTAGCCTATTCGACGTCCGTCGCATGACGCTGGCCTCTCCCCGGAAGAGGGCCTCCATGGCTTCCCGCGTTCCAGGGGGCCAGCAACGTGGTGAAAGTTTACTGAAACTCCTCAAAGGATGCCTCATCAGGCTTCTCCGTCTCAACCTCCTCAAGCTCGAGCTTTTTCAGGAGCACCATTCTTGCCTGGGCGTCCGACTTCGTTGCTCTGAACTTGCTCTTAGCCGCTAAACAGGCGCTGCGCTTGGGGACAAAATCGCCATCATCAGCAGCCTTGGGGTCCTTGGTGATGCGTAGCCTAGGCGGTGACACCATAAGCGGTTGCTCGAGCGGTTGCTCGAGCGGCAGCTTGATGGCATTGATGAAGGACACCAAGGCGCCACCCTAGAGGAATCCGAAGCCGACCTATCCGTGTGCGGCGACCCACAACCTATCTTTCTTCAAAGCAAAACAAGTCCCAAAATAATTCCGTTCTATCCGTAGGGGCGATCGGTTGGAACCAGGGTTTTTTTATCGGCCCAAATCTCCGATATTTCCGTTCTATCCGTAGGGTCCGATAAAATAAGATATCGGCCAAATTTTTCGGATTTTTCCTTGTCCCACACATACGGCTCACATTTAGCCCTGCCACAATCCCACACTTATAATGTTTTATTCTTGTTTTTATCTGTGAGTAAGTGATGTTTAATAGCTTACGAATAATTTCAAACCATATTCTACGAATTTTTTCAAAACAATTTGAATTTTTTTAATTTGGTCCGATATATCCAGTTTATCCTATTTATTCATGACCTCCGATAAATTTTTATTTTCGATAATGAAAACCTTGGTTGGAGCAAGGGCAGGATGATGGCGGCGGAAGGGTGAGTGCTGTGAGATGGGATGAAAGTTTTCAATTTTGTAAGTCTCCATCATCTCTCCGTGGGTCGCTTGAGTGGTCCTGGGCCAAATAGGTGAACGGAAACAGTTTCATGGGTCATGGCTAGCCTTTGGACTGAACTTGCGAGCATCTCCTTTGAAAAAAAAACTTAAGAGAATCTCCAATGGTTTCCTTAAGAAAGGTAGAGAATATATTTGATAATTTTATATCAGAAATGCTGAATTATTTTCAACTCACCTCAATCAATTTTATACTTTATTTTTTCTTTTCTTGTACATTTGCATTGGAAACACTATCCTTTCTCCTTTTCTTCCACATGCCCTTCCACCTCCGGATCGGCCAATTGGATACGCGTGCTTATATTTCCACGAGATTAAATCAATTTTCCATGTACGGAAAGATTGGAAATTGAGATAAGGAGTTGTTGCAGAGATATTTTTCCAATCATCTCAATAAATCAAGATTATAAGTGAGTTTTGGAAACTCCTGGAGATACTCTAAATAATACTTTTTAAAAGAAAAGGACTGTTTTAATTTATCCATATCACATCTATAACAACAACAATCATAATAATAACAATAACAACTGTAATAACAATAATAATACATCCCTTTAAAAATATTAAAATACAATATTATGTATACACACCTAACATTAAAGAGCATAAATTCTCTCCATTTTTTCATTTGTCTCCCTTTAACAACTTGTGTGGACAATAGAACAAAAGTCGGATAAGTGTAAGATGAGCTCGCTCCACAAAAACGACCGGATGTGCTCGTCCCAAGTGAACGGCGCTCACGTCGTCTTCCCAAATGAACAGTGCAAGCACGCGCCCAGGGGCGAGCGGAGCCGCAGCCAGGGTAGCGCGCAACCTAGGGCGAGTTGCGAAGGCAAGCGGGCTGGGGCGAACCGCAGCGGTGGCGGCGGAGGCATACGACCTGAGGTGAGTGGAAGCACTGCGACCGGGCTCAAGGCAGGCAGGGGTTGGCTGGGCAGAGGTGGGGATAGGTGGTGGTGACGCGAGCAGGGCCAATGGTGGTGACGCGGACATGACAGAGATAGGCGTAGACATGACTAGGCCCAAGGGGAAGAAGCACATGTTTGTATGACAGGTGGGCTGCATAGTTAACGGGGTTAACTGCTCTGCTATTTTATCCATCTCATCCGTACAACAATCCAATACAGAATAGAACCGCTATATATCCTTTCAACCAAACACTAGAATGAAACTATCTCATCTCTAAAATAAAATCGTTCTATTCTACCTCACTCTTTAACCAAACGTATCCTTAAGGGCACCCGCATTGGTCGTCTTATAAAGCTAACTCTAAGCATTTGTTTCATATTTTTATGGAAGAGAGAAAAGTTAGTTCTTGATCAAGAGTTAGGCTTATACATACATTCTAAGATCATGTGAGAGTATCATGTGGGCATAATCATACTATGAGCTATTGCTAAAAACTAGCACTATTGCACAAGTTGAATTATAGCTAGCAACCTGACTTATACCATTGCGGGTGTCCTAGCTACTGCACCAATCTTGGGCATTAATTCCTAAAGTACTGCACCAATCTTTGCATCCTTGCATTAATTTAAAGCAGCACGTAGTATGATTGTTTCGTCCTTGCATTAATTTAAAGCAGCACGTAGTATGATTGTTTCAGACATGCTGATGCTATGTAACTCGCTTGAATAACGCACCCACCCTTTGAGAATGGAGATGCAGAGCAAACTGATAGCCGAGAAAAAGCTACACAAAGACGACAGTCAGAACTCATAAGTCAAAACAGTCCTCCTAAATTCACATTTGCGCAGTTAGCAGACAGCAAAAGCAGCAGTACAAGTATTTTTGTTCGAACAAAATAACACAAATCAGCGTTGAGACACGTGGTCTGTCCATAACATAACTATATTACCTTGATTGAAAGTTTAAACCACCATACTCATATTCATATAAACTGTTCAGTAAATATGCGATTTAAAAACCAGTATAGTATCAGAAACTAGCTAGTTGGGTCTTGGCGCTGCCCATTCGACGTGCAGGATAAGGTTATCGTAACCGTACCCATTGAGCTTATTGATTGCCCTCTCGCCATCCTCCCTATGAACAAAGTTGACAAAGGCAAACCCCCTGCTCTCTCCAGTCACCCTGTCTATTGCCACATAGACGCGGCTAAGCTGCCCAAACTGGCCGAACAGCTCTGCGAGGTCGGGGTCGCGGGCGTCCTCTGATAGGTTGCTCACGCGGACCGAGTTCTCGTCGTTCCTGCGCCTCATCACATCCGCTCCACTTTTGTCGCCACCCAACCTCTTGAACACAGGAACATATGCTCCACTTCCACCCTTGCCAGCTGCACCGCCAGAGCCGTCGGCGCTAGGAGGCCTGTCGGCAGAGCTTTCGCCCTGCTGTGGAGCAAGATCCTTGTAGGGGCACTTTGAGGTCCAGTGGTCACCCTTCTTCCCGCAGGTTCTGCAAACCATGAGAAGGCCTCCCCCTGGTTTATCGTTTCCCTTGGCCAGTGAATCAGCGGACCCTGCTCCGTCGGCGTTGTTCCCTGCAACCAACCAAACGAGCAGTTGGCAGTTAGCAAATGAGAGAACAGTGGTACGGGGATAATACCGATGCTAAAGCAAAACATAAATTTTTTTGAGAAAATTCAGAACCAATCACACTGTATATACAAAATGAAAAAGGATATGCACTGTCAGCTATTTTACGAAGATTCATGTTACCGCTATTGTAGAGTTTAGCGGTGGCTGATGTCCACTACTGAACACATCCTTTGTCGGGTATTAACAAAAAGTAAATCGCTTGGCACCACTAGTTAATCATCCCCACATTTTGTGAGTAGTCAACTTTCCTGCCTGTCTTAGCATTCTAGCTACTAAAATTGCACTTCTCAAGCATGCAATTCACTCTTCTTATATTAATATATACCGACAATGTTCATTGTCTTTCAAAAAGAAATCCAAAGTAACTAAGTCCTAATGAAAAAAAACAGGCATATTTTTGTTTTGAATGTGTGTTCGTATATACGTACTAACAGCAACGAGACCAGACCATTTACATGATTTGGGTGCGCGCCAGGTAATAAAGTACTAAGTCCCCCCTTTGGATTTTGGCCTCGCGCACGCCGCACCCGTACACAGACAGACGCCTAAGATCTCGCGCCTGCCCACCGGCCACCGCTGATTCGGTGGGTGATTCCGCTCCTCGTGCTGGGAGCCTGGGACTGGGGGCTGGGATGATCGAAATGCCGGCGGGGCCGGCATATCAGTGATGCACGGAATCTGCTGGGTGCAGCGCGCGGGTGGGACAAGGCTTTTTTTCTTCCAGCTCCCGTTCGTTGGACAGAACGTGGTGTGGTGGTGGGCTACGCCGCTCCGGAGCGCGCAACGTGGCGGCCTCCGCACGACGCTGACGGCCTGCGACGCGACGGGCTGCCCAATGGGGGCGCGCAAGGTGGGAGCATCTGGGCGCGCGCAGCCAAAGGGATTGGACGGACGGATCGGGGACCGGCCACCGGCCATGACGCGGCGCACCGCACCCCCCGTCGTCTCACCGGTCACCGTTGATTGGCTGTGGGCCGTCTCTTGCCGCGTTTGTCTACTGTATGTACTGAGAGCAGGGCACGGACGGCGCCCGTCCGGCGGCTGGTAGTGCAGTGCAGGTGTCCAGGCGAGTCCGCGTCTCCGCGAGCACTGGCCAGTGTTCGAAACCGTGGACACTGTACAAATGGATCAGCCTCACGTCGACGTCTGGGGTGATGTGATGAACCCCGCGCCTGAGGTTTCGTCTAAAACGCGGACACACGCGTGTCGTCGCCTCGAGCCCTCGACGATAAGGCTGATGCGGGTTTTGGAGGCTGTGCTTGAAATTGCTGCCGACTGCGCCTACATGTGTCGATTGATGCAGCATTTCGTCAGGGAACCACTTTTTTAAGTTATCACAGCAGATCTTTGTTTAGGCGTGATTTCTATACTGGGCCAGGTGCCAACGAGCAATTTGTACTCCTGGCGAGACTTTCTTTGCCGCTTACCCCTCCTTGGGTTTAAATGTCACCTTTATTAATCACGAAGCCAAGCCTGCTCTGCATATGGTAATCTCCCAACCAAAAGATATTGACTACGATAACTAAGTTATTTCTAGTCTAGAGATAATAATCCAACCAACCGATAAGCTATTCCTAGACTAATAACAACCACAACCAACCGATCACGTACATTCAGAGGATTGGATATCTAGTTGATCTAACTGACCGTATAGACTCCAAGTCCAAGAGCAGCAAAACCAGCATGCAGCTAGATGCAAATGCAATGAAACACCAATCTGCTTGATCATATCATGCATGAACGTGCAGCCTATCTTGATTACTATTTTATCATGAACTAAGTCGACCAAATCACCCGATCGAATTTTGACTAAAACTAAGCATGCATATATATAGCAATAGAAGTACAGAACAGATGAATAACCAAGGGCTTGTTCGGCTGGCTTTAAGCCGGCCGGCTGGCTTATTTTCTCTCTCAAAAATCACTGTTCATGTTCTGCCAGAACAGTATTTTTCTCTCACAACAACTCTCGCAACAATTAGCCGGAACAGTATTTTTCAGTCCTGCCGAACAGACGAAACGCCAAATGAACCGAAACCAAAGCAGATTTAAGTTTTAAAGGAATCATAGAACAGTTAAGTTTTAAAGGAATCATAGAACAGTAATGACCTGATGCACGTGTGCGATCGAAGAAGATCTCTTCGGTGGAGACCATGGTAAGCCGCGATCCGGCGGCCTCCTTAGCGGCGTCGCCGAACTTGGGCCACGAGCGGCGCTCGATGGACCTCCTAGAGCGGCGCACCTTGCGGACGCGCGTGGTGGTGGTGACCTTGACCTTGTTGCCCTCCTCGTCGATGTGGTACTCGATCACCTTCTTCATGCCGTTGGCGTCGGGCCCGACGACGACCGGCGGCGGCAGGAGCACGCTGAGGTCGAAGTCGCCGCCATCGTCGTCCAGGAGATCGCCCCACCGCTCCGTTTGCTGCTGATTCTGCTGCATCGCCAATCCTCTCTCGGTTCGGTTCGTTTGGCGTCCAGGCGACTCGCTCTGCGTCCAGGCGCAGCGACAGTGTCAATGGGTCGAATGCAGAGCAGGCAGGAGGCGAAACTTTGACTTAGCCGCATAGGGTAGCATCCACCTGCTAACTTGGCTCCTAGCGTGAGTCACCATGTCCACGCAGTGTAGCATCCACCTGCTAACTTGGCTCCTAGCGTGAGTCACCATGTCCACGCAGTAGGGGCCGACTTGCCTCCTACCGTGGGTGGCCATGTCCAAACAAATCTCACCAAAAAAATAGGAAAATGCATAGCTTTTTTTGTGAAGTATGTCCAATCATAGAGCATATGAAATAAAACATTAATCACATACCAATCACATACGGCCAAATTTAAGGTAACTTATAATCTACTACCATTGTAGAAGATGATGATATCAGGACATAAATGGACAACACGTGGACTTTCACATGTCAAATCCTGGAATTACAAAAACATGTTGACTAGTCACTGAGACTCAATCCCAACGTCATTCATAGACAAATAGGGTTACTGAGCCCCTACACCGTGGATAAGACAGAACAGTATTGAAGTCCAACTTAATGGCGTTAATAATACAAGCATACCCCTTGGTCTACTATGATACTAGTTAAGAGCCAAATGAGCCAATCTTTCTTCAAAGCAAAACAAGTCCCAAAATAATTCAGAACACTGACTCGATGACAGTACCGTTGGCAGATATGGGACATCTCGACTTATGCTTGACCATCCAGAGTTTCCTTTTGCCACCGTTGCCATTGCCATTGCCATGGCCATTGCCACCGTTGCAAATGCTGGTTGAATTGCCATTGCTGCTTGCATTGCCATTCCCATTGGTGCCATTGTCACTGCCATTCCCATTGCGCTCATAGACGCGTGGCAACACCTCCACACCGGTTAAGACACCAAATGACCGGTTAGTAACTTCATCGCCAGTGTAGTAGCCATTGCCAACAGTTACCGTAGTATGGAAGAACCTTGCAATGCAGAACTTGCCCGAGCCTAGGCTGACAAACTGCGGCTTCTGCAATTCCTGCCAGTCCTCCGGTGGCTCAAATTCCTTCCAAGTGCCCACTAGCCGCGGCCGGGAATCCAGGTTGGAGATGTCTACAGCAGACAACTGATCCTTGGCAGAGAAGCCAAACCAGAGATCGAGCTCCGGCACATATTCGATCTTGCCGTACAAGGGCAGCATCCACCTCCCGACATGGCTCCATGCGTGTGTCGCCGTGTCCATGCAGTAGGTGCTGGCGCTCTCCGCTGATATCAAGATTTGGGCGCCGCCGCTGACCACCGCGTAGGAGGTGATCTGTGGCCGGAACTTCATCCACGTGGGGTCACGGACGTACGGCGGTAGCGGCAACGGTTGGCACTTCCAGGACTTGAAGTATGACGGCTTACGCTGACCGCATACGTATGCCTCGAACTGATCACTTGGCTGGTCGTCGGAGCTCTGGTCATCGGAGGTCGGCCCCATACTGGGACTGCCCTCCATGACAAAGAGGGTGCCAACATCATCATCATAGTCGTCAATGTCACTGTCAGAGTCCGAGTTGGAATCCGAATGGAGATTATTTCTGGCGCTGGGGATGAAGATGAAGAAGGGCGTGTGTTTGGGTTTGTGGAGGCTGGGCATGGTCACCACGTGTCGTGTGTTGGCGTCGAAGAGGAAGGTGCGCCCAGACTGGTCCGCACAGAGCACCTTGTGTTCCCCGAGCGGGAAGCACTGGATCGCCCAATGGCCGTCGTGAGCTGAAGCTCGGAACGTGACGATCGGGCGTGGGAGCCGAATCCTCTCCATAGTTGACTCCGACGCCGCCTCACTGGCCGATCCGTTTCCGTATAGCGGCGGCGGCGGTCCTGGGTTGAAGAACTGATGGCGCGTTAGGTCGATGCAGCGCAACGTCCTGACGCCACGGACTTGGCTGTCCACGACCAGATTGAGAAACCGTTGCGACAGAGCCATCCTCGATGCGATCCTGAACTGAACTTCAAAGCAAAAAGAAACTCATCAGAAAAAGAAAGGAAAAAAGAAGCCATTAGAACAAATTAGAGGAAAAATCATTAGGAAGGAGAGGATAAGTAGAGATGAAACAAATCTAGGTGGCAGACCTGGGGCGATCGGTTGGATTTGGAGCAAGGGCAGGATGATGGCGGCGGAAGGGCGAGTGCTGTGAGATGGGATGAATTTTTTCAATTTTGTAAGCCTCCGCCATCTCTCCGTGGGCCGCTTGAGTGGGCCTGGGCCAAATAGGTGAACGGAAACAGTTTCATGGGTCATGGCTAGCCTAGCCTTTGGACTGAACTTGCGAGCATCTCCTTTGAAAAAAAAACTTAAGAGAATCTCCAATAGTTTCCTTAAGAAAGGTAGAGAACATATTTGATAATTTTATATCAGAAATGCTGAATTATTTTCAACTCACCTCAATCAATTTTATACTTTTTTTTCTTGTACATTTGCATTGGAAACACTATCCTTTCTCCTTTTCTTCCACATGCCCTTCCACCTCCAGACCGGCCAATTGGATACGCGTGCTTATATTTCCACGAGATTAAATCAATTTTTTCCATGTACGGAAAGATTGGAAATTGAGATAAGGAGTTGTTGCAGAGATATATTTCCAATCATCTCAATAAATCAAGATTATAGGTGAGTTTTGGAAACTCCTGGAGATACTCTAAATAATACTTTTTAAAAGAAAAGGACTGTTTTAATTTATCCATATCACATCTATAACAACAACAATCATAATAATAACAATAACAACAACAGTAATAACACTAATAATACATCCCTTTAAAAATATTAAAATACAATATTATGTATATACACCTAACATTAAAGAGCATAAATTCTCTCCGTTTTTTTCATCTGTCTCCCTTTAACAACTTGTGTGGACAATATAACAAAAGTCGGATAAGTGTAAGATGAGCTCGCTCCACAAAAACGACCGGATGTGCTCGTCCCAAGTGAACGGCGCTCACGCCGTCTTCCCAAATGAACAGTGCAAGCACGCGCCCAGGGGCGAGCGGAGCCGCAGCCAGGGTAGCGCGCAACCTAGGGCAGGTTGCGGAGGCAAGCGGGCTGGGGCGAACCGCAGCGGTGGCGGCGGAGGCGTACGACCTGAGGTGAGCGGAGCACTGCGACCGGGCTCAAGGCAGGCAGGGGTTGGCTAGGCGGAGGTGGGCAAAGGCGGTGGTGATGCGAGCAGGGCCAATGGTGGTGACGCGGACTTGACAGAGATGGGCGTAGATATGACTAGGCCCAAGGGGAAGAGGCACATGTTTGTATGACAGGCGGGCCGCATAGTTAACGGGGTTAACTGCTCTGCTATTTTATCCATCTCATCCCTACAACAATCCAATACAGAATCGAACCGCTATATATCCTTTCAACCAAACATTAGAATGAAACTATCTCATCTCTAAAATGAAATCGTTTTATTCTACCTCACTCTCTAACCAAACATATCCTTGAGGGCACCCGCATGCTGTCTTATAAAGCTAACTCTAAGCATTTGTTTCATATTTTAATAGAAGACAGAGAAAAGCTAGTTCTTGATCAAGAGTTAGCCTCATACACACATTCTAAGATCATGTGAGAGTGTCATGTGGGCCTAATCATACTATAAGCTATTGTTAAAAAATTAGCACTATTGCACAAGTTGACTTAGAGCTGTCAACTTACTTGTACCATTGCGGGTGTCCTAGGTACTGCACCAATCTTGGACATTAATTCCTAAAGTACTGCACCAATCTTTGCATCCTTGCATTAATTTAAAGCAGCACGTAGTATGATTGTTTCATCCTCGCATTAATTTAAGGCAGCACGTCCTACGATTGTTTCAGACATGCTGATGCTATGTAACTTGCTTGAATAACGCACCCACCCTCGTGAGAATGGAGATGCAGAGCAAACTGATAGCCGAGAAAAAGCTACACAAAGACGACAGTCAGAACTCATAAGTCAAAATAGTCCTCCTAAATTCACATTTGCGCAGTTAGTAGACAGCAAAAATAGCAGCGAGTACAAGTATTTTCGTCCGAACAAAATAACACAAATCAGCTTTGAGACACGTGGTCTGTCCATAACATAACTATATTACCTTGATTGAAAGTTTAAACCACCATACTCATATTCATATAAACTGTTCAGTAAATATGCGATTTAACAACCACTGTAGTATCAGAAACTAGCTAGTTGGGCCTTGGCGTTGCCCATTCGACGTGCAGGATAAGATTATCATAACCGTACCCATTGAGCTTATTGATAGCCCTCTCGGCATCCTCCCTATGAACAAAGTTGACGAAGCCAAACCCCCTACTCTCTCCAGTCACCCTGTCTATTGCCACATAGACGCGGCTAAGCTGCCCAAACTGGCCGAACAGCTCTGCGAGGTCGGGGTCGCGGGCGTCCTCTGAGAGGTTGCTCACGCGGACCGAGTTCTCGTCGTTCCTACGCCTCATCACATCCGCTCCACTTGTGTCACCACCCAACCTCTTGAACACAGGAACATATGCTCCACTTCCACCCTTGCCAGCTGCGCCGCCAGAGCCATCGGTACTAGGAGGCTTGTCGGCAGAGCTTTCGCCCTGCTGTGGAGCAAGATCCTTGTAGGGGCACTTTGAGGTCCAGTGGTCACCCTTCTTCCCGCAGGTTCTGCAAACCATGAGAAGGCCTCCCCCTGGTTTATCGTTTCCCTTGGCCAGTGAATCAGCGGAACTAGATGGCCCTGCTCCGTCGGCGTTGTTCCCTGCAACCAACCAAACGAGCAGTTGGCAGTTAGCAAATGAGAGAACAGTGGTACAGAGATAATACGGATGCTAAAGCAAAACATAAAAAAAGGAGAAAATTCAGAACCAATCACACTGTATATACAAAATGAAAAGGGATATGCGCTGTCAGCTATGTCACAAAGATTCATGTTACCGCTATTGTAGAATTTAACGGTGGCTGATGTCCACTACTGAACACATCCTTTGTCGGGTAATAACAAAAAAGTAAATCGCTTGACACCACTAGTTAATCATCCCCACATTTTGTGAGTAGTCAACTTTCCTGCCTGTCTTAGCATTCTAGCTACTAAGTGACTTCTAAAATTGCACTTCTCAAGCATGCAATTCACTGCACGGGCCCCACATATTTTTTTTTGAGAAAAGAAAAGAAATAATGAAAGGTGGACTGTTTTTTGATTTGAGAAAAATCAGAGGATGTTTTCGCAAAAAATGATGAGAGTGTCTATGGAGCGCGGGTTGAATTTCGATAAAGTGGAGGTCTTTTCTGCAAACAAACCAGTGCGCATCCGTTCTGGACCGCGCGTCGATTTGGAAATAACATGAGACGTTTTTTGTAAAAAAAAAATCTGAGAGGACGTCTGGAGTGCGGGTTGATTTCCAAAAACTGAAAGGGGTTTTTCGTAAAACGACCGCGGCTCGCCCGATCTGGATCGTCCACGCGGCCGATCGAACGTGGACGTGGACGCGCTGGCTGAGCGAGCTGGCCACAACGAATCATATCTTTAGATACCGACAATGTTCATTGTCTTTCAAAAAGAAATCCAAAGTAACTAAGTCCTAATGAAAAAAAAACAGCCATATTTTTGTTTTGAATGTGTGTTCGTATATACGTATTAACAGCAACGAGACCAGACCATTTACATGATCTGCAGAATAGCATACACGTACACGTACGTATGCAGGGTACCACACCTAACTGTATCTTCAAACCAAATACATCTACTAAACATAATAGAGCTGTCCCATATATAATTTCAGTCATTGTTTTCGATTAATAATGTAAAAAATCAACAGTGTACATTCGATGTGCTAAGACAGCTTTCGGTCAAAGTCAAACACATAAAGAATGATTGTGTGCGTGCTCTGTATCAAATCTACAATTATGTTACCTTAAAAATACAAACACGCTCCTTGCAGTAAAGAATGATTTTGTGCGTGCTCTGTATATGGTAATCTCCCAACCAAAAGATATAACGATAACTAAGTTATTTCTAGTCAAGAGATAATAATCCAACCAACCGATAAGCTATTCCTAGACTAATAACAACCACAACCAACCGATCACGTACATTCAGAGGATTGGATATCTAGTTGATCTAACTGACCGTATAGACTCCAAGTCCAAGAGCAGCAAAACCAGCATGCAGCTAGATGCAAATGCAATGAAACACCAATCTGCTTGATCATATCATGCATGAACGTGCAGCCTATCTTGATACTATTTTATCATGAACTAAGTCGACCAAATCACCCGATCGAATTTTGACTAAAACTAAGCATGCATATATATAGCAATAGAAGTACAGAACAGATGAATAACCATAACTCCAACAGAACATATATACGAAACGCCAAATGAACCGAAACCAAAGCAGATTTAAGTTTTAAAGGAATCATAGAACAGTTAAGTTTTAAAGGAACCATAGAACAGTTAAGTTTTAACGGAATCATAGAACAGTAATGACCTGATGCACGTGTGCGATCGAAGAAGATCTCTTCGGTGGAGACCATGGTAAGCCGCGATCCGGCGGCCTCCTTAGCGGCGTCGCCGAACTTGGGCCACGAGCGGCGCTCGATGGCCCTCCTAGAGCGGCGCACCATGCGGACGCGCGTGGTGGTGGTGACCTTGACCTTGTTGCCCTCCTCGTCGATGTGGTACTCGATCACCTTCTTCATGCCGTTGGCGTCGGGCCCGACGACGACCGGCGGCGGCAGGAGCACGCTGAGGTCGAAGTCGCCGCCATCGTCGTCCAGGAGATCGCCCCACCGCTCCGTGTGCTGCTGATTCTGCTGCATCGCCAATCCTCTCTCGGTTCGGTTCGTCGTGCGGTTTGCTGCGCGCGTGGCGTGCGTTAGGTTTTTGGTGTGCGTCGGCGATTGGAGATCGGAAGATATGTTTGCGTCTTGGGGGATTGGGTATTTTTGGAGCTTTTTGTAATGGGTCGCCCG